GAGGAGCACAGAAATACCACAAACATGGCACCGGACAACATAGAAAATACTGAAAAACTGTCTCTCTGTGTCTTCATAACTTGGGTGATAACAGTGATGACAGAGCATCACAAGTATGGTGTGAAAACAGCTGGTGTATTTCTCATAAATTTGTTGTACTTGCCAATAAACACGCCGCCTCGACTCTTTTTTTCACGCTGCTGTGATTGTTCTGTGAAGCTCAGCCACCACATGTCCTCAAGAGAGGGATGTAGTCAATCTTTACAGAAATGCATGAGTTTAAGCATTGAGCTACGTATGTCATATATGTTATCTTGGATTAAAACCTCCTGCTAGAGCACCTGTAGTCAGGACTAAGTAATAGTCCATAAAAAAAGTGATTGGGACCTGCACTCTGAACAGATCCCTTGGGTTTGAATATCAAAAGCCAAAGGATATAAATTGATGTTGAAACATGCTGGCTAGGCAAATTCTTTCTTCTTATTCAATTTCACAGAGATTACAGTTTTGATCTTATTCACTATGTCACGTTTCAATCTATTCACCAATGGCAGCTTTGAAGTTGGGGGGAGATTTTAAGCAAGGCAGGTATAGGCTAACAGGGCCTTGCTAAGCCTGTGACAAAAAAGACACTGAGACGGGCTCTGTCTCTCCTGATCCACAGGGATGGGGAAAGTAGGCCAGGCTCGGTGTCAGACTGCTGCGAGGATCAGGACACTGGAGTTGTTGACTTGTGATCAAAGTTGCTTTTCACACTTTGGATGTCAAGAATCTCACAGGAAGAGAGATTTAAAGCATCCCTCACACACATGTAGGTCATATTTTTAGAAATGAGGCTTTCTAGTTGAGTGCTACGTCATCTCCAGTAACCTCAAGAAGCAGCCAGCCTTTCACTAAAACATAATCTGCTCATGGAAGTTCACCCCATCTGCCCCATCAAAGACACACTAACACAGCCAAACAAGCACAAAATACTGACATTACAACCTCACTTGCAAGACTTTGGATCAGTACAGTATTGTGCTGTATTACTGTGATGCAATGGAGACAAATTTCCAACTCTAGTCCACAGGAATTGATATTTACAAGGGTGCTGAATCTGCCCATGCAACACACACAGACTCATATTGTTGGAAATGGAGCCTGTTCATGTGCAGCAGACAGAGAGGACTCATCATTTCTAAGCAATTAGACCAACAAACCAAGCTAATGCCGTGGGTTAACAGACAACCATCCCACTAATTTGCAATTAATACTCTGTTTGTCTGCTGACAAACTCTGTAGTAGGGTCTAGCGCGCAGATGACCCTGACAGAGACCAAGGCACCAAAACAGCCAGGAGATACTGTGGCTCGTCACGTGTTGTTTGTCCCCCCACACCCCCTCCGGAAATCTGTCTGAATCCATTGCGAGTTATAATCAGACGGCGAATCACGGGATCCCGCGCAGCCCACGATGCCGACGCGCGCCGTGCAAGCGCACACCGAGTCCGGCGGTGCTTGGGATTGGGTGGAGGGAGTGGTGGCTGCGGACGGAGTCACAGGATTGGTAGAGTTCAGCGCCAAAGTTGTTGACTCATAGCTGAGCAGCTCCTCTCCATCCTTCTCGGCACGGAGCTGTCCAGGGCCAGTGGTGCTGAAAGTCTCAGTCTTCGACGCATCGTCGGAATTATTTTCTACTTTTTACGCTTTGACTGCTCTTAGTCATCCTTTGAAAGTTACAAGTCTCATACTCGTTTAAACGGCACTTGGTTGATATCTGCCCATCATCGCTCTGCCCAAGAGCGCATCGCAACTTCAACTTCTTAACCGAACAAATCGAGGACTCTCCAAAGCGCAGCTATGGCTTTCATGGTAAAACACGTGGTGGGAGGACAGCTGAAGAACCTGACAGGAGGACTGACGGAGGAGAAATCCGAAGGGGAGAAATCAGACGCCGCCGCGCAGGGAATGACTCAAGAGGAATTTGAACAATATCAGCAACAGTTAGAGGAGGAAAAGTAAGCCAATGATTGAAGTTTCTGATTGTAAAGTTGTGATGAAAAAAAGCCTGTGTGTCGGGGGTGAGGGGGTGGAAACGTGGCGTGCTTAAACAGTGTGTTTTTCTGTGTAAATAGCAGAAAGCCCCCAGTGCGCCGCGCGCTTTTTTTACGCACCAGTGCAATAATATGAACACTCCACGCGCAGCTGCTCCTCTCGCCCAGGGAGCTCTCCGTCTCTTTGCTTCGGCAAAAATGTGTAGCGCCGTCTTTAATTTGGGATTCCTGGAATCATTCTTCCACGGAAATGTCTACAGGGATTCGTGCCTGTGGCAAAAAATGTTCCTAATGCTGTGCGTGCGGCTGAATAATGAAGCGTACTGTGTGGTAATTAAAGTGGTGATTATTAGAGGGCAAATAACCAACAATAATACAAATTAGTTTCGGCTTTTAACCGACTTTCATCATTGTCATTATAATCATACAGAAGTAACTATTCAAAATGACAGCGATTTAAAGCCAGGGGATGCCTGCAAAAATATGTCAAATATTGCCTTTGACTTAAATTGTTGTAATTCACTTGATTTTTTCCACTTTATATCATTTCAATCTTTCCCTTACCACCTTCACCTCACCTTCCAAAGTTCATTCTTTACACGTTATTTTATTATTATATTTATCATGTAGTTTAATTTCAGAGTGCACTAGGTGAGAATATAAGGCAACAACAAGGTCATTGGTTCACCCAGGAGACAGCAACTCACTATTGATTAGTGTGATCCTCAGAGCAGAACTCCACGTCATATAATAAGCTACTATAAATAATCCAGGATAAGGATTCAGATCTGGTTTTTGCAGAAAAACAAGACAAATAAACCTGATTTTATTGGTTTCTGTCTGCAAGTTTGTTCAGAACCCAAACAGCACTGCATACTCTGTCCTGTTGTTAAAAGGAAATTATCCAAATGTATCGTCCCCATCATCTAACACGTCTATCCAAAGTGTTTCACTGTACCATGGGCAGACATTTTCAAAATGAGTGGGAGGTGAAGTCCTAACTCTAGCAGTATTAACACTCAGCTCAGCCCACTGAGCTCCATAGGAGGCATGACGAGATGCTTAATGCTCTTCCGTCATAATGTGACCTTCTTCGGAGGCGAGTTATTAGTCAGAGGTGCTGAACACGAGCATAGGTCACTGAGAAGCTCGTTCTGCTCAGAATGAAACAGAATATGGTTTGTGAGGGCGGGTTGGCGATGCTGACGTGTCACATACACACATTTTATTACCCTCAATGCGAAGGCCACAAGACGACCCCGGTCATCTGATGCCCTTGAGAAAGAAAGGCACAAAGCCCCGGTCATTGGTTGCAAGTGAGCACCACATGGCCCCTTGGTGTTTGGCCTACTCACGTTGATATGAAGTGAACTCAGGCTCACATGGACGCCTCCATGAATGCTGCAACGCCACATAAAACGACCTTCCCCTGACACATTGGGTACAGACACTTTGTGAACCATGCCGCTGGTCTTGGAGTGTCCCTCTGCTTTTAGATGATGCTGCTGATCTAATCCTTTTAGGCATGCAATGCAGCCTCTTTCACTGTAGCTTTGCTTTGATTAAAATCATCCACAATGTTTGTGTTTGTATTGCTTTTTGTTTGTGTAATCATGCTATGCTCAACCTTGGGCTGTACACACAAAATTGTAAAGGATTATATCTGTTGAATCATAATTTGTAAGAGGCATATCAGCTGATTTAGCAAATGATGGGGGACAATTACGAACTACACTAAAGCCATAAATATTCCAGTGACACTGAATGGCAAAGGCATTGCCAGGAGCCTACAGCCTGCCCTCTGCTGGAGGCCTCATACACTGTATAATGGACTGTTTTTAAGAGTTTTAAGAGAAAAATGTAAGCAGGCTAACAGACATTTGATATGGCCCAACATTCAGTTTCACCAAGATAAGTATTTTTAAATGTTTCAGTACTTCCTGTGTATTTGGTTTAACTACCTGTTTTGCAGAGTAACTCACTCTTTTCAGGTTTTCCTTTACAGACTTAAGGTATTTAACATGAATGAGGCTCATCAGGCAGACCATGCTGTACCGCTTAAGTTAGTAAGTACAGGACAGATTGACAGCATGGTAATGAGTGCAGATCTATTAGTCCACAACCCGAGAAAACTGAAAACCCTCAGAGGAAAGCCGGACTGTCAGGATGCTGCATCTGGGGTTTATAAGCATAAGCAAAACATGTCTTGCTTTTCTCCCCATGGCAGCACTGCTGCTGCTCCACCTTCTGTTCGCTGCATGCCCTGTAGTTACCGTTAGGAGGAAACGGGGTAACGCTAGGCTCCAAGGCCTCCATGATCCAGATTCAGCAGAAGCCTTATGTTTATTTTACAGCTGAGATGCAACTTCACTTGACTGCAGAGAAGTACCAGATTTATTTTACGGCATATTTGGTTTGTAATATTTGGTGCGATACCCACTGCAAAAGTAAAGATCTTGGAGTTAACATTTGCATTTTCTATGTCTCGTTTAAATAAAAGCGCATATTAAAAATGTATATATTGATTTAGTCACCTCTGGTTGGAACCTAAACTTCACTTTTTCAATTGTGCCCCCAAAATATTTTTCGTCCTCTCTTGCAGAAAAGAACGAGAAGCTCATTACGCTCAGAAGAAAGCTGAGCGAGCCACAGTTAGAACTCATTTCCGGGAAAAGTACAGACTACCAAAGGTAAATTAACTGAAATATCCAATAATCTAAAGAAAGTAAAGATAATCCTCCCCTTTAAAATCTGTATCGTGAATAGGCAATAGGAATAACAGTACTATGTTAATACTACTTTTAATCAATTGCTGAGCAATGTTCTTTCTTTATGGAATATTTAAGTGTTACTGATTCATTAATTTCATGATGTAAGGTGACCTTGAGCATCATTATTACTTCTTATTATTTGACAGAAAATCACATATTCTTATGCTTTCCAAGCCATGGAAGAGCTTGTCCTTTCTCTTGTTGGTTCTGGTGGACATGGCTATATGTCAGATATATATTATCTTTGTCCATGTGTGTCCACCTCAGAATGAGATGGATGAGACCCAAATCCAGCAGGCAGGGGACGATGTGGTGCTGCCCACAGAGCTTGCCAAGATGATCGCCGAGGACAACGAGGAGGAAACACACAAGCAGTCGGTGCTGGGCCAGCTGTCCAACATCCAGAATGTGGACATCGACCAGCTGAAGGACAAAGCCCAGGCCACACTGGAAGACCTCAAAAAGCAGACGGAGAATTGCAGTCTGATGTGATCTGGCCAACTCCAAGCCCAGGAGATTAGAGTTTTTCTTGTACAAATATTTTCAGAGGCAGAGCTGCTCCGGGGGTAGACATTTTCTCATTGCTGTAGTGGAATGTCAGTTGGCAGAGCCACATATTAACAGTTTTTTCTGGTCGTGCAAAGTTAAACAGAAGCCTTATAGTACGATATCTTGGCCACATCTTACAAACCTACAATACAATTCTAGCCACAATGACAACCAGGTGAAACGGCTTAATTTGTTTGCCTTTTGACTTCCCGATATCTTAAAAGGTCATGAATGCCATGCATATTTTTACATAAATTGCCAATTAGCCAAAAATGTGGCTCCTCTCACTGAGATTTAGCCAATTAAAACATCTCTGCCCTTAGAGCAGTTTCACCTCTGAGAAAGTTTTTTCCAGTGTATTAAATCCTTTACTCCCTATAACCTCCCCAGCTCTCTGTACCTCATGTGACCTGTGATAACACAATATGATTCTGCAGCAGAGGTCGCAGGTGTGTGTGTGTGTGTGCAGGATTTTCTTGCTTCCAAACACACAGCAACTGATTTCAGTGATGAACACATGCACTTTCAATAAGCGCATCAGTGAGATCAGCTGCTTCGTTGGAATGAAAGCACACATAAACGAGGCTGACACTGATTGCTGTGTTATGTTAAATTTGGGGGAGTTGATGTAGGTAAAATAAAATAAAAGCTCGCTCTGTTTATTTTTCATGTACAAATGCGCAACATGGTAGAAATGGGCTGATCTTGGTCAAAAGTAGCTTGCTAATGTTGCCGCATCAATTTTAGATATTCTCATAGACATATCATTTAGATTTTTCTGTACTTCAGTGTGCCTTGGATGTCCGTACAAGGTTGTCTTCTTTTGAGCTCCGAAATCTAAAAGCTACTTTTTACAAAGATTTTTTTTTAAATTTTTGGAAGAAGTTTAAATTTTTTTCTTTTCTTCTTTCCTGTTCGATTAAAAACCATTAATAATTACCAAGCAAGCACGGATGATGTCTTGCTGAAAGTCCAGATAGTTTTGCTGCGTGTAATTCCTGTGTTCCCAAATTTAACCTAGCATCAATATCAACTATACTGGAAGTATTTCTGCACATATGCTGCATTTATAGGTTAAAAGAATAAAAGCTGCTCAGTTAGAAGAAATGTAAATGCTTTACAAGTTGTATGCCAAAGCCTGTGTTGATAACACTCTGACCAACATTAAGGAAAAGGCACAAATATGTCCAGATGTGTAACGACAGTGTGTGTGTGTATAAATCCAAATACAGAGTCCGCATTCAAGTATTTATGTTCTGTTAGATGTACAGGTATCTGTTTGCCTATACTGTCAACAGCGAGTCATTCTGTTTCCACCAACTCACCGGGTCTTGCAGTGTTGTCAACCATCAGGTGACCTTTGACCTGTCCTCCATCTCATTGACCCTTCCGTCTCAGTAGTGCTCTTTCGTGCTGGTGGATTTCGTGTTGTTTAGCCAGTGTGATGCGTCAAGTGGTGTCTTTGTAAAACAGAAAAAAAAAACCTCACCCTATAGCCGGGAGTGCTCATCGTAGTGTTACAGAGCACTCAGTCAGTGTGGGCTTACTGTGGTATTGTTGATTAATAGCCAAGTGTGAAGGTAGGGGTGACGTTAGGGAGGATGCTGTTGATGTTATGTTACATTCATATATGCTACATTTTGCCAGTGTTCAGTTTATGTAGCAGTGGTGATGAAGGTGATGTTGGCTTGATCTCACATCTGTCCCCGATCTCATTCCTTTTATGGTTCTACGGCCAAAAACTTTTTTTCCCCGCTTTGTGTTACTTAAGTTTTTTTTTTTTAAGTTTAAACTGTGGCCAAAAAGATTTTGTTAATTTACTGTATGAGTTTTAATTTCGTCACTGTAGGTGCCACACTACTACTGAATGAAAACGGAGGCAACATTTTTTCACTACAGTGATTATTGTCATCTGTTAGATACACAATTATATATATATATCTATATATATATATATTCAGAATATTTCAATAATACGAAGAAGAAAAGTTGCAATAAGTCCTTTTATAAACAGAGCTACTAGAATATGTCATGTTTCATCATGAGACGATATTCTTGGGGGGAAATGAAGCCATAAAGCAAAACTCTTTGCTTTGTATGAGTGTTTGTGACTTGAAATAATAATTCAATAACTCAATAATAATAACAATATACTCATATATATTATTTCTGTGGTCCAGATTTTTCAGGAAATGGCTGCCATGACACGCAGTTTTTCTCCTTTGACCTTTTTGTTTTCTTTCATTGTATCTCTGTCATTCTGTTGGAAAGTATTTCAGTGACTTCTGCGTTTTAACTGCAATAAATTTTTTTAATTATATTCTATTTATTAATTGAATTCATTTCTACTGTGTGTGAATTTAAATGGCTTCGTGGTTTAGTGTGTCATTTGTGCATGTTGTTAAATGTGCAGCAGCTTGAACACCAGGGGGCGATACAAACACACTCACAATTACAGATTTGTTCATGAGGGAGGCTTCTGGGTGAGCCCCATAGATTGTGACTGACAAGTCAAAGCCGGGCTGTATTAACTAGTATTAGTGTTAAAACTAGTATTAAAAGATGTTAAGAACAGAATGTAATATTTCAAATGAATCTAAAAAACATCCTCATTATCTCTGGCAGCAGTGTGCTGACCGAATGAGTCAAGTAATCCACACATGAAAGAGGAAAGTTTAAAGGAAAAACCCGAACAAATAAGTGGAGAAACACAATGAATGCATTCACATATGCACCAGTTCACAGCATGCATACACACAGTAATAATTTTTAGCTCAGGGATGATTCTCTATGTGAATGCTATGAATGCAGTCATGACTTTGAAATAGGGTCCAAGCACTTAAAGCAGGAGCTTCAATCATAAAAACTACTCAAACAGACACTGTTTCAACAGGAACAGCGACTACTGTCCATTCATCCCTATAGCAAAGACAGTAAGTATCCGAGGACTCAGAAGCTACTTTTAACAGCTATTTGGAAGGGGGTTACCACAACAGGTAACTCTGCTTATTTGATTTGGAAGCCCTTCCTGACCCAGCCCCGATGGGATTTGGGGTCAGGTCCTACCATGATTGAACTAGGGAGCTTTTTCTTGTTAGCAAATGTGTAAACTACCATATCATGGAGTCACTCTTCAAGTGATTGAGAAATGTCACTGTAATCAGACTGTCATCAAGAATAATCCGTTGACAGATTAATGGAGGGAACTCTATGTTGTGGTTGAGGGCATACACACATCAGAAAGTTCAAAGGTGCAAAATCCACAAGACAAAGGATGACAAAGATGGGGAAGAATGTAGAGTCAAATGGGCATACTGCATATTCCAAAGAGTGAGTGAGTGGATGGTGTGCACCTGAGAACCGCTACAGTCATGGAATCTGGTGGCTCTGATATCCTGTGGGGGGCTTTTTAATGGCATGGTTTGGGTTTACTTTGTCCTCTTACAAGGAAGGGTCACTGCAGGTCAATAAACAGGTGCTCTTATCCTTCGATGAAATGTTTCTATGGTAGTGTTATCTTCTAGAATGAAGGGGGGGTCACTGAGGATTTTAGCAAACATTACATTTCAGACTGGTGATGTATCCAGTGTGTACCCTGTATGTCATCCTATTACAGATGAGATAGACTCTTGTGTGACCCTTGACTCTTGACCCTGAACTGGAAAAGCAGTTAAGAAGATCTAAAAAGGTGGATGTAAGGATGGATGGTCGTTTTTGGTGAGGTATCATTATTATTATTATTATTCCTGTGGGCGATCGTGGCTCAAGAGTTGGGAGGTCGCCTCTGTCAGTGCGCCCCAGGGTGGCTGTGGCTACAATGTAGCTTGCCATCACCAGTGTGTGAATGGGTGGATGACTGAATGTGTAAAGCGCTTTGAGGTCCTTAGGGACTAGTAAAGCGCTATACAAATACAGGCCATTTACCATTATTATTATTAACAATAGTATTTTTGTTCACTTCCTTCATTTTAGAAAGCGCCTTAGTATAAATTTATATACTAAAAATAGTGTAGTTAATCGTGTTTACTAATCATGAATACTGTTAAAAGGCATTACCATTCATATCATTAGATTATAAAATAGAATTTAATCATATTGCACTATATAATTGATAATAACCCATAACTCGTTTCATTATTCCTATTTACACCTAAAGATTTTCTATGCTATATTATATATTTGTTAATGATTACCAGTTGTTGTTGTTGTTGTCGCCATTGTCGTCGTCGTTGTTGTTGTTGTGTAGGTAAGGTTTCATTAGCTCAGATTGGTGCTGCAGTTGGAAGTGTTGAAATCTTTGAACTTCAAACATATGCCTTCAATCTGGCTTTTGACTGAGTGTTCTTTTCAAGAAGTTACTTTGTTTTTATTACCTCATTGTGTCTAAGTTGTAAGTTTATTTGATTTTTAATGCTTTCATTTTAACTGCTCTCATCACAGCATTTTTCACAGATTAGAGCTGGCTTGTTCCCGTACATTGTGTTTTATTTTATTTATTATTTGTATTGCTCTTAATTTAACTGACATACTTTTACTTTAAAGAATATTTTCTTTATGTTATTTCCATGATGTTTTATCTTTTTCGTTTATTTTGAGTGGCTTTGACTTATTGTACTCTGTTAATCATCTGTGAGACACAGTGAACTGCAGTGATTTGCATGAAAAGTGATATGCAAATAAAGTTTTTTAATTGACTGATCTTATATATATGCACTAGCTGTCTTTTTCTGTGTTGATCTGCATGTTTTCTCTAAAATGTCTGCTCTTGTCCAAAACGTGATCAACTGGTTTTAGTGTATAAACCCAACAAAACAAAATTATATTTTAGCACTTACTTAAACTCGTTTTAAGTAATAATTGCCAGTTACAGCTTTATAAATTTCACCCAAACATTCATTTAACAATAAAATAAATTAAAGTAAGTTAAACTAAAGTTTAAAAAGCCCCTAATTTACTATTTAAAGTGTTACTTGCAGTTCCAGTGCTGACTCTGTCCCTGTTAAAGACACAGAGCTACAATAATTACCAGCATGTTATCAATTCTTTTGCATTCTTGCAGATTTCAGTTTGGGCACCCATCTGCTCTGTGTGGTTTGTGCAAAACTGGCACAGCCCCTCTGTGAGGGCAGACCTGAAGCTAGAAAAGTTCGTTTCCATTTCAATGGCAGGAACGCCTGGGCTATTGGTAGTTTTCAAGTGTGGTGTGAAAGGGAATAGCTGTAAAATATATTGATGCTGAACCCCTCTATTGATAGGCTGCAGCGCGTGAACAATCTTCAGGCTGGAAAGACACTGGGCCACCGCATGGCCAATCTGACACAATTAGGGTGAAACGGGCCAGAAAATACTATTCTCTCCCTTTCTCCTCTATCAATCGAGGCTTAAAAACTCTGCAGAATGGGGAGACGAGGGAGGGAGACAATTAGCGAGAACCTTTAAGTGAAAATCCTCATCGGCGAGGAAGCCATCACTGAGGTTTCTCCTTGCTCCGGAGGAACAGATTTGTTTTTCTTCGCTGAAATTTGGAGCAGTGAAGTTGCAGATGTGAGCTTCTTGCAAAGGAATGCATTTTGCAAGCTCCCCCTGCCTGCCTCTCCCTTTCACTTATGTTTTGCTACAGGAGGACCACACAGATCCTGGGTTTCATACAAGGAAAATTATAAACAGTTTCATCCAGCCTATCTCGTCATATACTGAGAGGATTTGTGCTCAGAGGTGTGCTGCTGTAGGCCTGGAAATGGGTCCCACGGCTGACTCCTCAGTGACGACCAATCGGTGGCCAGGATTGTAAACCAGAGAAGGGGAGGGAAAGGCGCGACTTTTTCTTTCTTTTTTTTCGTGGAGGAGGGGTGTTGTGGGGAAATGCTCGGCGGACCGTGAAGCGTAACAGCCAGAAGAAGGACAAAGACGCACATAGCGGGACAAAATGGGACTGAGAGAAATAGCTCTCAACTAAAAAAACAAAACAACAAGTTTGGAATGAGTGCGTGGATGGAAGTTAAAAGTAGTAGCGCTGGGAAGAATCGAAACTAGCAATGGCAGGAGAGATGAGTTCTAGTGTAGTATCTGAGTTGTGTACATTAATTGTAGTTAGAGTTGTAAACTTTGGATAGCCCAATGGCGCGTTTCAGTGGCCACCTCAGATTTGCACCGGTGATGCGGAGACAGACTGCACTTTGGAGTTTGGATTTCTCGTTTTTGAACGGACATGCTTCCCGGAATGACTTTTCCGTTTCTTGCAACTACGCGTGGTGAATCCCCTGAGTCAGATCCTGACTTCTACTGTTGCGAATCTCACCGGGAGGAGCCAAACTCATCCAAGGTGCAAAAGTGAGTGGAGAATTTTTGAAAGAGCTGCGCTGCTAACAGGTTGTTTGTTGCGAAAACTCTGAAAAGAAAACTTGTAAGAAAACTTGTATGAACTTCAGTGTGAAAGTTTCTGTGCCCGAGTCGCTCTGATCCTAATGTGCTGGTGGAGAAAGTGCACGTCACCGAACTACAACTCCATCCAAGCATGAAATGTTGGTGCAGCGCCCTGGCACTTCTCCCGTGGGTGCTGGTGGCCTTGGATGCACAGCTAATATGCTGGCAGGCGCTTCTCCGGTGCCACGACGAACCCGAGTGCGAACTTGCATACAATCAATACATGACAGCATGTGAAGGTAACATCAAAGGAACTAGAAAGCAATGCCCCAGCCACTGCATCAGCGCGCTGATAAGGCTGAATCACACCCGCAGTGGGCCAGATCTGGAGACCTGCGACTGCGCTCAAGATCTGGACTGCCTCGACGCCAAGCGGGCCATAGAGCCGTGCCTGCCCCGGAGACACCCGAAGGACGCCGGAGGTATAGGGTGCATGGAGGCCCGGCAGCGCTGCGAGGAAGACAGCAACTGCCACACCTCCCTCACAGCCTACTTGTCATACTGCGGGCAGCTGTTCAATGGCCGGAAGTGCTCCTCCAAGTGTAAAGCCACCATTCAGCAGATGCTGTTCATCCCAAACGGCATGCTTCTGAACCGCTGCATTTGCGATGGAGTGGAGAGGCCTTTTTGTGAAGTGGTCAAGGAGAACATGAGCAAACTTTGCTCCATTGGAGACCACAGCGTTGTTTCAGACCCGACTAAAGATTATGAAGATCCATACGAAGACGATTACTCTAAAAATGACAAAGAGGTGGATTTTAGTGAAAACTCCTCTGCTTCTCAGAGCTTATCCAGAGGCGTGTTGCCCTTGTGTCTTCTTACAGCACGGATATTATACTGAGGGGATGGGTATTTTTACAGTTTTATGAATAAAATGTACTGTACAAAAGTAAAATTATCCCGTATTTAATTTAATAAGGACTTAGTAACTTTCTCAAAGACACTTGAGTGGGTGATGCTTTGCTGGCAGAGGACTTGAATTCAGGTCTGCAGGATGAGAAAAGTTATTTTTTCGTCCCTGGGCCCCTCAGACATCTCGTGTTAGTTTCATGGTGACAGAGAGCACTGTAATGGTTTGTGTAAAATTTCCACAACCTTAGTAATTCTCCACGCACATCTCACTCAGGAAGTATTTCCTTTCAATTTGTATACTGTACGTGCTCCTTTTAGTTTTCCGAGTTAAAATTCCCCACCTGTTTAAGTTAAAAGAAAGCTTTTGTCAAAAATATCAAAAACATTTTCATGTGGCAGTGAGAGGAAATTAAGCAGACCGTATTTTGTTCAAGCGCACGGCCACTTTGTTTGCCCTCAAACAGCTCCTGTTTATTTGGTTTGCTTTCAATGGTACTTGAAGTGTGGCCTTATTAAGACCTTGGACAAACATTGGACCCATCCAGTCTCTATTTGCTCTGCTCTCTATTTCAGGGGCCTTTTCATTGTTGCAACAGCCACACTTCAAATATTTGTAGGAACAGTGAGAGGACAGGCAAGGGTGTGTGATCAAGTACTTAAATTAACTGAAGCGCCTCTCCAGCACTCTGCCTTGTTCCCCTCCCCCATTTGAGATTGTTTTATTGAACTTTTCCTGAGACCACCCTCACCCCCTTCTTCCTCCATTCTACTGCCTACCCCATTTGAGGCCTCTAAGGAGACCCCTATCTTTATTACTGCTTTCACACTGCTGCTACACTCCAGGAACAACTGCCAGCTGCTGGAGCGAACAAGTCAGCGTACAACATCTACAGTTTGTCCACAAGACTGCTCACATCTACAGGTGGTCTGACAGTGCTTTGCTTTCTTTTTCCAAAGCACAATGTTGGATTTAAGCCACATATATGTAACAAACTGTGCAAGTTAAGGGTGAGTTCTTAAAGTCAGGTTTTATGAACTAAACAAATTTTGCTGGACAAAACATCTAAAGTAACACCGAGCAACACTAAAGCAGCAATGCAGTAAGTGGTAAACAAAACATCAAGAAGTAGTCTTGTTGTTCACTGTGAGCAAACATAGTTATAATTCCTTATATGTTCCTTATTTTATGTCACACAGGTTGGCTTGAAGTTGAAAGTGTTTCTTACTTCATTTTGTCAGGATAGATTTGTCAGGATACTTTTAAATTAAATGATTTTACCCAGTTATTTTCTAAATGACACACACACACACACAAAGATAAACTCAAATTAATAATATGAGATTTTTACAACTTTTACATTTTCATGTTGGGGATCCTTTCCTCAGTAATTGTACTTTGAAGTCTTTTGTGTGTTTCGAGGCTGAAAACGTCAGAATAAAACATCACATTCATATTTGTACTTGCACACATTGCTTTGAACAGCTGCTGCGTGGTTAATTTTACCTGTTTGCAGGTCCAGGGACTGAAACCAGCAGATTTTCAGTCTGACTTCTTACTTCCACGTTATGCTGAAAAAAGGGAAAATTAAAAACAAAGTTTTTGTTAGTTTTGATCACTTTTTCTGAAGCTGCCAGTTTGTGTCTTTGCCACTTGAAATGCAGTCTTAAACAATGAATGTTAAGTGTTAAATTATGAAGCTATAGTATGAAGAATGTGTATATATTTTACCGTCATATGCAGTAAAACAAGTGTTGCTTAAATGCTTTTAATATAAACAAATGTAGCTCAAAGTTTGTTCACAAAACCTGTTTTTTGGATGTAGTTTTCAATGTTTCCTCTCATTTTTTGGGAACATAGCAGTAAACACTTCAGCACGTCTTCCTTCCTCCAAACTGGAGGATGCGTTTTATAATACATATATGACCTAATGTAGCCCAAGAATAAAAAGGAATAAATAATGTTGAACTTTTAACCAATGTGTGCTTGATTTTTACATCATTTCCCTGTCATATTTTGGTGATCGTACATTACCTCAAAGTCAGTGGAGCATTCATGACTGTATGTGCATATTTAATGATAATACTTTTTAAAAAGTAGTGTAGAGGATCCATGCGGTAGTTTTCAACCCATTCACCTTACACACAAAAGATCTGCGGTCCAACACTCAGAGGAAACAAACTCAGTCTCAGGGGCTCACAAGCTAATGTACTTAATGCTAGTCCCAAAGCTGGATAAAAGGGAAAAGGAAGGGCATCCGGCATAAAATCAGTGCCAAATCAAACATGCAGATTCATCCGTTGTGGCAACCCCTTGGGAAATAAGGGAGCATCCAAAAGTGTCTAGATATTTCAGTGGTATATGTGGCATGAGCCAAATCTGCATTGAAGTGGCTATAATGTGTAAACCTTCACATACTAGCACTTATTATATTTTAATCATATTTCTTCACATTAAAGTTTCACTATTTTATTTTGGTAGTTACGTAGATGTAAAGCACCAAGCCTTTAAAAGGAAAAAGGTAGAGAAAAGCAGCTAAGCTGATACTGGAAAGCATTATCATATACCTTCAAACTTTCCCAGTGTCAGTGTGACTTTGCTAATGACCGAAAATATAATGAACTACTTCAGCGCAAGCCACCATTTGGTGCTTCCTCCACAGTTACTGAGGTATTTGCAAGTCATTAACAAACTGTGAAATGATCATTAGCATTAGCAGTTAGGTGTGAGCTGAGCTGCACACCTGTTCTGCAAATGTTACTTTAGTCATGTCCAAATGGTACGAGCAGTGGGACAAACAAAAAAGGAATAAACTGAGGAGTAAAGTTTTTCCACTATACTTGTGTGACAAAACAGACCTACATTTGTTGAGTAATTACATTTTGGAAGTTTGTTACTTGAGCTAACAGGTGGCAAATTTCAGTAACATCTCCAAGCCTGGAGAGAACTTCTACACAGCCTTTACTGATTTTTTCCTTTTTTTCTTTTGTAAACCACAGGAATTCCCAAGTAGGTCCAACTGTCTGCTGTCATAAAAACAGCAAGATAGAGAAACAATGCAGCCTACAGCTACAATATAGCACGACTCCGTCTCATGTAGTTAGACTGTCTTTGGTTCAGTCGGTCTTAACCACTGCCATGCATCTTAAAGTCCTCCAAAAAAAACCACCCTGTCCCCCCAATTCTGGGAGCAAAGTCAAAACAAACATGCACAGAAGAGCCTTGGGGATTGTGTGTGGAGGAGAATGGGGGGTGGGGTTACAGAGGGAGCAGTGTGCTGGAGCCCATTTTCTAAATTATCTTTATTCAACATTTCTTTAAAACAAACCCCCCTGTTCCCCCAACTCCAAAGTGGGGTGACCCATGGATTTGGGAGGTTCTTATGTCACACGCATACAATGTTCCATTCATGACAGCCATGGAGCCATAGCAACTAGCCGACCTGCTCTCTATGTAGAGGGATGATGGAGTGAAGGTCACCCAGCTCCTTAGGAACCAGAACATACAAACCCCTCTTTATAGGCAACAGTGATACCAGCACTACTCGTGTGTGGCTTTAACAGTACCAACAGAAAAAGAGAGGGAGGAAGGGAATATGGAGACTGATCGAAGCCACAATGCTGTAGGTCGTGGTTTAGGAGAGGAGGATCGGTGATGTTTTGGAGGAGGGGTGGTGGGATAAGTTTTCCATCTAAGAAGCTCCCATTCTGGGCTGCATTACTGTAAGGTTATTCAGCAGACTTTTTAAGAAGGCAATATAAATTGGCAGTACTCCCAGAAACAACAAAGCAAGCACAAGGGTCAAAATTGCATCCAAAGTTTTCCTGGCAGCAACATGCTCGCGCTATGATTAAAGCAAAGAAACGGAGCCAACACCACGGGCACCGACAGCCAATTACAGCCCCCTCCATAGCACAGCCACAAACTCATCACCCAATGGTTCTTCATCCCGTTGCTTTGGGGCCATGCTGTTTCTGCTCTAACCATACGGTCTGGTACTGATTTACACCTGGCATGACCAGGTGATTGTTATTAGCTAAATGAGAGCACAGAAAACAAACATTAATCTGAGTCCTGGTTCTGAAGACCGCTCGTAAACCTATGACAACCACAGCTGCAGTTTTTTAAGATATCAAAATACATCTCTTTCCGATTTTCACAAAACTTTGTTGTCTTTTGATCTACTGATCCAGTTTTTAAATGGGCAATTTAATATTGGAAATAAGTTGGAAAAAGTGAACGTGACAGAAATAAAAAAAGAATAATCAAAGAACTGTGGAAATCAAAATATCTTGGCTTTTAGAGTTTAGCATAAATTAAAAACACACACACAGAATCATACATTTCCATTAATGGAGCAGTACTGTGTGGTAAACACATCTTTCAAACTCCGAACTTTCACTTTGTAAGACAGGCCTTGTTTTCCCCCCAAAGAGGCAAAAATCTTATTTTGGTGGTGAGTGGGACAAACTAAGTGATCTTTGTGTGTACATTTTACTTTTCCAAAAAAGATAACAGTAAGCCAAAGCTTCACAGAATAAAAATGTGGATCTATCATGTTAGGTCTTCAACTGACATAAGCATTCTTGGCAAAAGAGATTATGCAGATGAAATAAATTCCTCACCATTCTCCAATTCTCCAGTTTTTGTGACATTTTATTGAATCTGTTGTCTCATCTCATGAATCATATTATTAACAAGTATTCTTACTTTCCCCTTCCCTGCCTCCCTGTCTCCACCCCTCGTGGACACGAGCCAGCTGTTTCTACAGAGCGCACTTCCAGATGATGACGGTGGCGAGGAACCAGGAGCGCTGTTCACACGAAGACAAATAAATCTTTGCAAAGATTCTGAAAAATGAGCGTTTGCGACGTGCTGCTGACAAAACTTCAGACTGCACAATTTTTAAAGATTGTGATTTTATTTTGAGACAGAACTGTCATTTGTGATTTGTCATTTAATAAATACATATTAAAATTCACAATGTATAAAGAAATTAAATAATGAAACAGTGCAGCAGAATGAAAATCTTGCAAACAAACATACAGTATAATATTTTTGATAATTCTATTAAAGCTCCCTTTTGGAATATTCAAATAAATGAAATCTAAACGGTCCGTGAAGACCTACAACAGCGAGGATCATTGGCTTGCCACCATCTATTAAGTTTTTTACCGTTTCACAGAGGCCCAGTTATGAAGGCTTTACTTGAACTCCACAACTCAGTATATCCCTCAAATATAAAGCCAGTGCCAAACCTAAGAAAATGCATGCCTAGTGTAAATAAGGCAGAGGCCGCACCTCTCCAGTTTTCCCCTCATAGCGGTGGAGAGAACTTCATCAGTGGAGAGAGCATGGTGAGCCTGTGGTTCACCCACAGTAAAGGCAGTGGGGGGAAAAGGGGGTGCGGAGGAGTATGTACATGTTTGTACAGGCCTCTATATCATATATTGTACATTTATCATCTATACTATTTGCTGAAAATGCTTTTGAAACATCTTAATGTCACAGCTCTGGCTTATTTGTATTTTCAGTCTTTCGCAGGTTTAGTTAAACTTCAAATACATTTGAATGTTCTGCACCAAACCAAAATGCAACAGTGCCAGTTGCGTTTTGCCGTGACAGTGTTGTATTGTCATACAAGCTGTCCACCATTTACATATCAATGGTGTGTCAGTAGGAGGGGATTCGGGCTAAGCAGGGCAACAACAGTGTAAAGAACAGGGAACTTTCACATTCAGCAGTGTGCAAATCCAAAATTCAAGAATTTCTTACCAGTCAACTTTTTTTTCCCCTGAAAAATAATAAACAGAAGTTCACTACCTGTCCAATCATTTCATGTAAAAACTTTACAGCATCAGCCAAAACATTGACCACATTTGGCTGGCAAGTGCAATATCCCACCCAGATAGTGTACTCAGTTGGTTAGGATGTGGTGCGATTTGGCTACAGCAGAAAGCTGGTCAGGTGAAGGCTCTGTGTCCAACCTGTACACTGACAGACAGCCGAGGAGTTCCAGTCTTCCCACGGTGGCTGTCATGTTTACTGCAAACAGCAGGCTGAGAAGACAGAAATGTGTCAAGCTCCACTTTTTCAAGATTACAACACATTTCCTACAACATTTGAAATAATTATTCTCTAAGGGTTCGGTAAACACATCTGGCATCCAAAAAGATGAAGAATATTTTCCAGAGTTGCTTAGGAAACTTTTATGTTATTCATTTCGACTGATTAAAGGAAAACGGTGTGTTAGACTAAACATCTTCAACATTTTTATAAAAACATCGCTTTATAAACATTTAAAGTTTATTTATAAATTAATTATGTAACTTAATGCGCGTTTGTGTTACTACCTATGAGTTTAAATGTGATGTCTTTCTCCTTCTCCTGCTGTGTACAGAAGTGCACATCAGCAGCCCGGGTGTTCTGTCTGTGCCACTGCATAATTAGCAATCGCCGTTACACTACGTAGATATCACTTCATCAATCAGTTTTCTGAATCTAAATTCAATTGTGAAACTTTAATGAAAGTACAGGCAGATTAAAGACCAGCTAATGTCCGAATTGACTGCATCAGATATTCAAGTCCTCACATGCGTCTCTGTTAGGTAATACTTAGGAGAGTCCAGGGCTGCAGTGCATGTGTGAAAAGTGCTTTAGTGTGTTGTCTCCTGTCCACTCTCCAGCATAGACAGACTGACATCCCACCAAATCGTATCTGTAGTTTGCAGTATATGTATACTCTTGTGTTTTTAATACTGATGTTATAGCAGTGACAGAAACTAATAATCATCTGCATTTAGAAGAAAATGTACTCTACGCTTATTAGGCCTGCATCGGATTTCTGGCATGATCCCCATGTTTCAGATTTTTCCATGAAAATCCAATTGCTTATACTTGTTTCTGTATTTTTTTTTCTTGCTGACATTTTCTGCATCAGGGTAACAAAAGAAGCTTTGTTATAGAAAATAATTCAAGCTTCTTCTGAGGTGTTACAGCTCTAAACCAACTCATCTTTGAACAAAGCCAGTACAAACAGCCACTGACACTGATAAAATATAATTAATTTGGTAAACACACTAAATTGTGACCTTGGAGGCGATGCAAGTCCTCTTTTACTGTTTGTTGCTGCATGAGCTAAACAGAACATGCCCAGTCCTTTTCCATAAATAAACCTTTATGTAAATGGAGTTATCAGATATTCATCTGCCAAGACCTTCCCTTCTATCCCCTGCTGGGCTACACTGATCATGCATATGATGCCAGTTTAAATATTCAGGGCTCCAGGCTTGTAAGGGGAAGGTACTGTACATGGACTACCAAGACAGTCTGACATGTGAATTTTTAGAGGATTTTAGAGATCTGAGTTCTCAGCAAAAGTTGGTTATGCTTATGTTGGTGTAGTCTAAGGTCACCAGACAGACTTGGGCGTAGCTGCGACCCTCTCTACTACAGCTGCTGTTGGATTAGTGCCAGCCAGGCTGACTGTGGTGTGGTTTTATTAAAATAACACCAGCAGAATAAGAAGCCACATTCTTCATGAAACTTAAACGGCCTCTAGAGTCATCAGTTGCCTTCCCCCGTTCCTGTCTTTTTTTCTTTGTTAAATTCATAACTCCCCAGGAATCCCTAGCGGAGAACAGGATATTGTCCCAACTTTAAGTATTTACTATCCATCTAGGAGCAGAGCTTAGAAAATACGAGGAATTAGGTTTTGTCTACAAAGGTTACCACTACGGAAATTTGCAGATATTAAAACTTAACTTTCCATTAATGATACACTGGTTGTTACAGTGGAGATGTTTGACATGTAGCGACACTAAAGGAACAAAAAGCAACCCTTAAATAGAAGTTTCGAGTTTAGATTTTTTAAAGTTATTATTTTTTTCTTTGAATATGTCTCACTTTCACAATATAGGCTATATGGGAGGACAGGGCTGCATGGAAATAAATTGAAAGAGTCAGGGAGCCCAGCAGGGCGGCCAGAGCAGCAACAGAATGGCTCATATTTTACTAGTGGAAAAAACTTCAGTGAAAGGACATTTCATTGCAACTTGAGATGTGTGTTCCTCACCTACAGCAACTTCCACCACATCCCCTCACTAACACTACATATACTGTAGCTACTTATCAGAATGGCTGCAAGGTAAAATCAAAAAAGTAAAAACACATTTACGAGCAAAGTAATGATTACACAACACAACAGGGAGACTCACAACTTCTGACGGATTCTGCGAGAGATTCTCGATCCAGAGAAACGTCCCTCTGAGTCTCCTGCATCTGAAAAATTAACAAAACATGTATCTTAAGATCCTTGCCTCTGTTTTTTTTTTTTTTTTTTTGGTAAATCAAATTTTTTCTCATACAGTCTGGGGTCTTTCTTCTCCTTCACTTGAATGTACGCTGAAGGAGTGCATGCTTACCTTAATATGCTTTTTGAGGTATTCAGCTCTGCTCATGAGGCTTTTAATCTGATGAGATACAAAATTCCAATAAATTTGGTAACAGATACACAGTTACAACACAGGCACAGTGGCTTTCATTTTAAACATGTTTTCTACTCAGGATTTTAACTGTGCCTGCAGCATGAATCCAGAAGCAAGGCTGGCTAGTTAAAATATAATCCATCCCATAGTAGATGAGATAACAGATTGTACAGATATGCATAGTTCCTAGACTTCAGTGATCCCCCTTTTCTCTGGTTTTTCAATAAAGTCTTCTTTGTTATCAAAAGGCTGTAAAACAAAACACAATAGTACAACCCTCAGCTGTAGTTTGTGGTTACATAACACTAGTAATTCTCAGACAGCTTCCAGTATGACCATATAGTCTAATTTTTAACATTTTATTGCGACTTAATTGCCTTTAAGTGAAGTATACAGATGGTTAATTGTTTTTTGTTGTGTATTATGTATTTTATTTATTATTTACTCTACACTGTGCTGTTTTTGTGCAGTAAACAAACAAACAAACAAACAATAAATTCTGGATGCATGTTGGCAAAACCTGAATTAAATCAGATCAAACCAATCATCTCTGCAACTTAGTATTTCTATTTTTTGAAAAGATTTCATATGGCACACACGTGCAAGCGGTAACTGCTGTCATCACAAGGCTCGAGGGTGCTCTTTACTGTGGTAATCAGTCCTTTGGTGATCATGAAGGTTCTTGGCTGCACCTAATACCTAGTTGTACCCCCACTTTCTCACAATTTAAAGCCAGCTCTCTCAGGTCTTACTGGAGAAACATCTGAGGATCGTAATGACGGGAGACCGAAATTGATGACGTCCATAATGTCCCTTTAAAACACCAATCTTTGGAGCCAAATAATCATTCTGACCACAGGTTTTTAGTATCCGGCTCTGACCCCAACCTTATGTAGCCACAAAACTTTAATCACAATCCCTTTAATCACCAACTACAATAAATGTGGAACAAATCTACACGGGTAAGCAAAGTATATGGGGCATGCTGATAACTTGCAGAAATTTTATTACCAACAAAGGCTACAAGACAAAGAGATCCCATGTATGCTCAGCCATAATGACACTATGTCAACATACACTAGCTAGATCCAAGCTATGACTCACTACTGAGAAGCCAGAATATTGAATTACAGCTTTGAGAGACCAAAGTGTGCTCAACAGTAGATATGAACGCACATGGAGGCCAGCCATGGCAGCATGTGTTGGCTTTTTTAGGTTCTCACATACACACATGCTTTCAATCTAATACCCCAAACTCGCCTCCCTAATGCTGCATTAGATTATTACAGCCGCAGCTGAATTTACTTAAGACAAGCACCCATAAAACTTCAAATAGGGAGGTCTACACGGCCCATTCAATCCCCCCCCCCCTTTTTTTTTGGCTTTGTTGGTGAAATATGGCTGTCTGTTGTTGGATCAGTTTCTGGATTAACAATCTTCACAAAAACAAAAGACTCCGGAGCTTTACCAACAGACATACACAACACCTCATCGATGCAAGAATCCAGGATCCTAATTCCTCAAAGTTACAGTAAGCAATCTTACAGGATTGCAGAATTTAGGGTTTTATTCAGCTTCGTTGAGGATGTTGGAAAAACATGGCTATTATTCCCCCAGGTTCTCGCAAGTGCAAGAAGATTAGAAATAAATAAATGGATGCTGATCTTCTTGACATTTTAGATTCATCACATCCCCACATTTTTAAAAACATTTCATTTTTAGCTGACTGGCTTTAAAGTTGACATTACTCATTTGCAACAGAGGCTTTCCAGCCTCTACAGTAACTGAAGTGGATTATAAAAACCAATAGTCTATGAATGAGACATCTAGCTAAATTTTAGCAAAGTTTTTAAATTGTAAAACCAAAAAAATAAAAAATAAAGCTTTATGTAACTGATAATTTGTCAGTATGTGTACCTCTGAAAGAGTATTCATGTGACACACTGGTAATACAAGATATCCAATTATCTACGTGGACAGTGATCTATGGGTATGTTACAGGAACTACAGATGATGAATTATATTATTTGTTCTTTACCAAAAAACAAAACAAAAACAAAATCGTATTTGATGAGTGGAAAAAATGCTTTCAGGTCATGTAATGGAGTGTGTATTGTGGAAGGTGATCAGCTGAGGGCTCAGTGGAGGTAGGAGATTGTCGTTCCTACTGTGAGCACTGAACCAGAATCCCTTCCTCACACACTCACCTCGCTGTGGAGCAGCTCCCTCCTGCGGCCCTGGGGCTCGGCTGGCTCACCAAGAGGAGAAAAAAAAAAGACATAAGAATAATGAGGAAAATAATGAGGAGAGGAAGGGAGGAGAGAAGTCCAATACCTAATTACTTAGTTTGTTCTGGGAGAGGTCAACTACAAGACTGGATTTCACTAGTGAGGTTCAAGATGAGATTGTTTCTAATGTAGGCCAGTGTTTTCACCAACTACCATCCAAAAGAGAAGACTCACAGAAAATGTAGAGAGATGAGGAGTAAAAAGAGGAGTCTGTGGTAGTTAGGCATGATGGAAAGCTGTGTGGCAAAGAGCTCCTAAACAGTCAAAGAACCAATCCTTTCCCCCGACTATACTCCTCATGGTATCCTCTGCCACAACAAGGCTCCCTGACACTGGAGAGAGAAGGTGGTTGGGACTGCATTCACCAACCAACTAAACCAGTATAGCATAACAAATCTAAAAAAAGCTATCAGCGTTATTCTACACGTGTAAAATATTTCTTCAGACAGCTTTAGAAACTAATATCCATTTCAAGTGAAAAAGTAACAGTATTTTTTAATTGACCAGATTGGTTTCAAAAGCAGTATCTGAATGCTTAGAGCTCTTGTCTATTAGAGAGATAACAGTTTTTGTTTGTTTCCAGTGTGTAAACACAAATAAGTGAAGTGTTCTGTCTGAATGGGAAGCAGATGGCAAGGCTTTCATACCACACACAGGGTGCTGGCACGGGTCTCATCCCAGCTCAAAGCCACATCTGGATCACTCTATTCCACCTCTTCCATTGGGCTGATCTTCCAGATGAGCTCATGAACCCAGCCTAATGGACGCCAGGCCACAGACAGAGTCACTGGAGTCTCTTCTGTTACTCTGTCTGTCATATTAAGTGTCCCCATCTCTCTCCAAGTCTGTGGTTTCACAGTCTCTTGTCTTTCACCCTTTCAGATTACCTTTCACTCTCCCCCGGTCACCCTTTCTTTGCATCCACCTCTCTAAAAGACCCTTTGTCATGTTTAGTATCTTTTCTTATTCTAGTTAAATTACTCTTTATTCACTCTCCAACATCTTTCCCTTGAGGATCGTTTTTCCTTAGCTATTTCTTGACCTAGCTATAGCCTCAACTCTAACTGAATTTCCTGAACTCTGAGTCCTAGCCTACTCATTATTACTCCACTTTACATAACTCTAAGTGCCAAGCTGCCTTTTAAAATTATTTTTCTTCAAAATCTTTCTTATTTTTCTCTCTCTAGTACCAAATATTTGCAAACACACGAACAAAGCTGCTACAGTCTCAGTGTGCAGAGAAAGTACCAGATAGAGGACTACAAGATGGTTTCATTGTCTTTGGTGACACTTCAGCATTCCCTATGCTTTGGTGCTTTAGCTTACCTTAAGAACCGGTGAAATGGCTCAGCAAACAACATCTATAAAAATCTGAATAACTGATGTTGTAACGAAAGAAATGTATTTGTCTACCTGCTAGTCCCAACAGTAGTTCTCCTAAACACTGCTGGTACATATCCAGTGCCTCAAGGTCATCTGATCCACTCTCCTCCTATACAGGAAAGTTAAAATTAGGCATAAATTCTTTAAGCCAGTATATCAAGTAACTAAAAACTAACTAGCACCACCACTACTACTACACAATTTATTCCCTTCTTGTTGGCTGCTGAAACAACAGACACAAAACTGAAAAAACAAACAAACATTTGTTTGGTTCACAAATGAGCTTAAAAGATGTGGTTTGGATATCAATCTAAGAGAAGGGTTTGGTTTTTTACTCTTCCACTTAGGTCTTATTCTCCATTATATTGCCTTTACTTCACTTTGCCTTTATGTGTAACTACAGTGATGTCATCATCCAGCAATAAACCCATCTAACCTTAGCAATGGCAGTAGAGGCCATCTCCAAAGCAGCTAGCAGTCGTGGCTGATCTTTAGACATTTCTGCAAATGAAGAAAAACAGAAAACTACTTTGCATTGCTGTTGAATTTAGATGGACACACAGTGGAACTCATTCTACTGAAACATATGCAGAACTTTGAAATTAGCATGAAATGTTGATGTATCTTATGACAAACCGTATTGTGGACAGTGGTTTAGTTATATATTTGAGTAATTTTTTGAGCTTCAGACTGAAGAAGCTTCTCGATGAGAGGTAAAACGTCTTCAAGAAACCTAAATAAGTCCAGACACTTTTCTTTCCAAGCTCTTTAGACTACAATGACCTGGATGACTGAGAACCTTCACAGACATTTCACCTCCAGGACAAAGAGAAATGAACATTTTTTTTCCTTCTAATACTGATTAAAGTTTTACATGTTTCATCTTTGCATGTTTGCTATTCTACAAAAACCCATTTTGAAGTAAACATCCAATTATTTGATCTAAGTTAAAAGAACAATGATACACAGTGTGTGGCTAAACAAGGCTCAAGTTTGATTCATAGTGCAGCACTAAGTGAACCTGGACTTCACAGACATGCTGCTTGAATGAAGGCTGCAAAGACTGGTGTGTGGCCTTGGTAATAATGTGCGGTGTAAACATAGGATATTGATTAACAAGCACAGTGCTTATGTAAAACAAAATACAGCAGGCTACATCCAGTTTGGGAGCCATGTGGTGCCTCAGCCTCTGCCCGGAGATGTAAGTTTTTTGTTTTTCTTTTTCGTTTCTTTACCTCGGAGGATGTCCCTGGAAGTCCGCGCCTGCTCGAAGCTCAGTCTGTTGTCCGAAGCTACCAGGGCTTTCAGCTCCTCAGCTCTGGACACATACTGCCTGACCTGTGGAAAGGCCGCTTACATTGACTTAACTTAATTACATCAACCACAACATATGGTTCTCATGCTCTCGATACACACATATGGTTTTCATAAAGAAGAATTCATTACAAGTGAGAGCCACTGGATTATAGGGAAAAAAGCAACTGAAAATAGAGGGCAATCCACATGTGAATGTGAGGACTGTTTTCAGGCCTACCTTTTGCCTGAGGGCCTCTTTACGTTGACAATTTGTTTCATCTAGGGAGGGCAAAGAAAAGAGATGTGTTGGTTTTTCATTTATTGAGTTTCCTTTGCCAGTTTATTGTGCTGGAACAAAGACAGTGCATCATAGTGGGCCTTAAGTCATAGACAGGATATTAAGGTGCTTGTTGCTCTTACAATAAATAGCAGGGACAAAGTGCTCAAGAGCACTGCAGTAAAGCGAGAGTGCCTCAGACCTCTCCCCCTCCTGGTCCTTCTGAATGGCCTGTAGGACCAGCTTTTTCTGGAAAGAAGAAACAGAAAGTGGTATTACTGATTGGAAACGGATACAAACGTCTATTCATTAACACCACACAGCAAAAGTATGTTTACAGACCTACAAACACATGTATAAAAGTCAGTCACATACAAAATGTTTCTTAAAAATCTGGAATATTCCTAGTCTCTTACCGCTTTCACTATACTTTCTGCACTTGGCATGTGCTCCATATCCACAAAAGGGTGGGTAAAGAACTCTGCAAAGGTAATCCGGGCATCTGGATTTCTCTCCAGCAGCCGCAACAGAAGGTCTCTGCAGTCCTTGGATACCCTGGCCCCAGGAGGGAGCTGATACAAAACACAACCTTATTGCATTGCATCTAATCGGCATGGCGATACAAGGAAAAAGGACAGCACATTGTTACCACAGACCCTCTGGTCTCACGTTGCTACTTTCTGTCAAAAGATGACCTTTAAACTCTCTGTGTGAATTCCTGGATAATGGGCCATGTGCTAATGCAATCAATTAAGTCTAAGCCTAATGTTTGATTCAAGAATCCGAGTGTTTTGAAAGTCCTCCAACATTAAAGTGCACGGATTGCGGATGCCCCAGTAGTCCATCACGTACAAAGGCTGGACAGAGGGTTTCATTACTGTCATGGGACCTTTGCTGCACGTCATTCCGCCCCTCTTTCCCCTTTTCTTGTCTCCATTAAAGAAAGGGTAAAACAAGCACATGTTTTCTTGATAATTCTTCTAATCTTAAGCCTAATGTGGTTTGTGCATGTGGCAAAAAATAGGACAAAGACACAAATAGAGTTATTAGTTACTAAGCCATTTAATTAATTATCTCTCTCTGTCTCTTTTTTAAGAGATCACAAGCCCTTGTTTTCTATATGTAAACACAGTTTTCAGTCCCAGACTGCCCTTTTAAATCAGTATTTGTCAAACTCTGGGGTAGACCACAGAGCCACTGCAGGAGAGGACAGATGAGAAGAGTAAAAGTATGGAATGAAGCTAAGAGAGGATAACATTTATTTAGGGAATAAACAAACAGCTTATGCTGCTGTCTTGATGTTTATTTCACTCATATTCATCTAGTATCTTTTATTATTTCTCATCATTTAAAAGGTCATGTTCTTCAGCTTCCTAGAAGAGACATGTCAGATTGTCTTGAATGTTGTAGGTGATTTAAGAGGACCAGTCATGTTTCAGTAGAGCTTCAATTGCTGGTTCCTCTTGAGTGGAATAGTTTGCCATCTAGTGGTTAAATCCAGTACATGGGAGAAAAATACTTGCAACTGTTGTGTTTTCTACACAGGCCACCTACAGCATATTTCAGATTTACTGTTAGGAAATTATTACTATCCTATCTAATTTGAAGAAGATGTAATGATACATATCAATCTGGAAAACCTGATCAACCCCAATATACAATGGAGATACTGTACAAATGTAACAAAATGAAATGCTTAAATTTGTGCCTTTGCATACTGACGAGCAACTTTTATAAACATAAGAAACATAACTATAGCATTCAGCAGGATTTCTATATCCATAGTTGGAATAATCATTGTCATTTGCACATTTGCTCATAACCAGTGCAATTCAAATTTTTCTAACACATTCACCAGATTGCTCATAACTTACTTCAATAGGTTGGTTGCTCCTGATCTTCTCCTCTAATTCAGCATATGACTTTGATGCAAATGGTGCTCTGCCAAACAATGCCTCTGTGTGCACAAAAACAATGGGCAGTAGATTATTACAAAAGAATAATTATGCAATAATTACTGAGTACTTCATAATAAAAAAAGAAAAAAAAGAAAGTGATTCAACTGAGCAATCTTAATAAACTCTTGCACACAGATAGATAGATAGATAGATAGATAGATAGATAGATAGATAGATAGATAGATAGATAGATAGATAAACAATCAACATCTTGAATGTTGGATTTTATTGAAAAATTCTGTGCAAATGAAAAGTTAAATTAATTCTACTTAGCTTTTCTAAAAAGCACATAATATAAAATATTCTTTTCATTTTGCACTGTACAGTGTCACACCCATAGCACACGTTACTGCTGTGTGCTATTACAATATTATTGCACAATTACTGCACTAAAAACCCATAAAGGGCTCTTCACCACTCTGTCACTTGATGATTAATAGTTCAATTCTACTTTTAGCCTACTGAGTGAGCTCTTTCAAGCCTGCAGGGTCAGTCAGCTGATTAGCCTTTTATTGCTGGAAAAATAGTGGTGTCAAGATATTATAAATTACTGTTAGAAGTGAGACACACAACATGGCACAGGACAGATTACACCAGATTCTGTGTACCCAGAACCACATTAGTTGCCAAGATATCTAACACAAATGCATTACAAGTGACAAATGAAGCAAAGTATTATTCATGTTGATGGCATTTCACATTCACAAGAGATAAAATATGTGAACACACAGTACTTGCCATAGAGAATAACTCCTACAGACCACAGATCCACCCTGGAGTCATACTGCCGACGACACACCATCTCAGGAGCCATGTAGAGAGGAGAACCTCTCAGGACACTCTGCTCGTCCCATGGGGACATGTATTGTGCAAAACCAAAATCTGGGGGCAAATTAGGAAGTAAATTACATCTGAAACTATCCGTTTATTCTCTACCAGTTGGCATGTTTACAGTAAAACATTAGCTTCTACTACTTAGCTTCCCGTGCTTGTTGTTTAGTGAGTGCATGTGATCACCTGCTAGTTTCAGGATAGAGCCGCTGAGCAGAATATTCTGGGGTTTCAAGTCCAGGTGTGAGATATTTCGTTCGTGAAGAAACTGGAGGGCACAAGCTGTTTTTGTGGACAGATGTAATAGCTCAGGATAGAATATGAATGCAATTTTATTCCACAAACAAGTATGCACAGCTGGAAAAGTTTTCGAATTGGATTTAATTTCCAGACTTCCTAAAACGGGTATGTAAAAACCTGCTTCATGCTGATTGCTCTCAAACAAATCTCTCATCAAAAACATTCACATGAAACTTCACCAATATTGTTTGAAATAGGAATCACCCACCAATCTGCTGCAGGAAGCGCCGAGTCACACTCTCAGGTAAAATCCTGCGACTGCGAATGAAGCGGGAGAGATCGCCACCAGAACACCATTCAAGAATCAGGTAAATATTTTCAGCATCCCACTGATGAAAAAGAAAAGTTCAGACACTGAGGGACAGAGTCAAAGCAAGAGTATTAGTTTTATTTCACATTTATTTTGTTAATATCTTTCTTAATGTTTTAAAAACATAAATATCAGCTAAAAAAGAAGAAAACAGGAAGAAAACATATAAACAAGAGAGAAATTATATAGAAAATTATATAGAAAGTGATATCCAAACAATTAATGTAGAAAAAGGTGCAAATATAGTAAACACAATATTGTAAATAACAAAATGTTTTAAAACAATCTATTATTCCATCTGGGAAAAGTTTATATAATAATATGGGTCTAGTGCCTTTCTGTTCCTTTTTCCTATTTTATTGATTTTTTAAGTACCATAAATATTATTTATAGTATTTTTTTATTTTTATTTTGGGAGATTGCTGCAACTGGTCCAGGGTGTATCCTGCTTCTCACCCTACGACAGCTGGGAGAAGCTCCCGTCCTTATATTCCTGAACTAGATGAACAGTTATTAAAAAGCCGGACAGATAATATGGGACACAAAACTCTGCTCATCAAAAAAATCCTTGCATAAGTACAAGCTATACTAAAACACATGTATGAGCTTACCTGGAAGTCTTTCAGCTGCACTATATGAGGATGGCGCACAGTCTTTAGGATTTCAATCTCTGTGAGCAGATTTTCTGTGGAAGCCTTGTTAAGAGTCTTCTTTCCAACTACTTTAACTGCAACCACCTCTCGACTGTTCCCCTGCAAAAACAAACAAACCAACAAAAAAGGTTTTAACAGGACTGCATAGTCATTTGAGAAATCAAGTACGCTCCATGACTCAAAAGTCCACAGAACCAACTTCAGCAGCAATGACTTGTGACCGTTTTCTGCATGACTACAGTTTCTCACAACATTATGGAAGAGTTTTGGCCCACTCTTCTTTACAGTGTAGCTTTAGTTAACTGAAGTTTGTAGAAATTCATTTATATTCAGCTCTCTTAAGGTCTTGCCACACTTTTAAATCGGGTTGAGCTCTGGACATTAACTGGACCATTCCAAAATCTTGCTTCTTTTCTTTTTCAACCATTCGTGACCCAATTAAGGCAATGCTTTAGCTATCAGTCAAATAGCCTCGCATTTTCCTCTAGAATACTTTGGTGCCGAGATCCTGTGGCTGAAAAACAAGCCCAAATTACCACTCCAGTAATGTTGTTGACAGTTGGCAGGTGTTTGTGTTGATATGCTGTGTTTTTTGCTAAGTAGGGGCTGTACATTATAGCCAAACATCTCCACTATGGCTTTGTCTGTCCAAAGGACATTGTTTCAGAAGTCTTTTGATTTGTTATGTGCCATGTTGATTTGAGAGATAAGAACCTTTCTCCTGATAACCCCTCTCAGCAAGCCATATTATTCAGCCTTTTTCTAACTTTATCATCATGAACTTGAACATTTAACATGCTAGCTGAGGCTTTTGGAGTTAGGCTAGGCCTCCGTTAGGCTAGGACTCAGAGTTCAGGAAATTCAGTTAGAGTTGAGGTGACCACTTCTAAAAACCTCAGCTTTTTTAGAAGTTCTCACACTTGCAGATGATCAATTAATCAAATGCACAGGGTTGCATGGACACTTGTCTAAACTTTCTTTTTGACATTATTATGCATAGTGCATAACATACTCTGTGTGAGCCTTAAATGCAGAAAGAATTAGGAATGCAAAATGTGTGGTATATAATCAAAATGACTAATAATACCCACATTTACATATCACATTTACATATCACAGATTAACTCACCTTCCTGTAGGCTTTGTAGACTGTAGCATATGTACCACTGCCCAGCCGCTCTGTGAGAATAAAGTCTGACAGTTTTGGAGGAGCAAAGCTGGAAGTTGATGCCATGTTGCCTCCAGCATGAGATTCTCCCACACAGATCTAAGCTGGAATTTAAGATCGATATGCTGTTAATACCAAATACCTAATTTTAACCAGCACGAAGGGAAGGAATGGAAAGACGTCAGTCTGACCACAGCCATATCGCTTCAAAACTATTGCAATAAAGCGTATTTCAAATATTCTATCAAATACATGTTTATAGTATAAACATTTTATTGAGTTGGCGTCACTTATTCTTCTCTACCCAGGCAGGCAAATCAGTAGTTTGGTGAAGACTATAGCTTCAGTTTACTTTCGGTTGTTGTATCCTGAATTCATGCCGAATTTCAGACAGGCTAATGAATGCTCGTCTAGCAAGTATTTATCATCTTAATACACAAAAGAACCGTAAACAGTTTTTTTTCTTTAAAAGTGCACACATTCCTGTTTACCCTGTTAGCTTCAGAAGTTCTAGCAAGCTAATTTAGCACTTTTACATTATGCTAGTATGTACACAGCCACTAGATGTACTCGAAGTAAACCAATGTCCGGATTAAACACAGAGTATATACAGGTTCCCTGGTTCACACAAAAATAACAAATGGACCAGGAAATATCTGTCACGAACCTGTAGGCCAGCCGCAGCATATGAATGAGGAAAGTACTGTTTACATCCCTGCTGTTAGACTGTCTCATGCTGTACAGCAGCTGACGTCAACACGTATTAAAAATATGTTACTGCCTCCTAGTGTTGATACTCCGTCACTGCAAGTCAAGGGAGAGATAGCTTTCTATGAAAAGGTCGTTTTTGATAGCGGTTTAGTATACTAGGAAATTAGGATTGTAACACCCACAAAAATATTACTCACTTCTCGAGGAGAGCAGTTAAAAGATCTGCTTAAAACTGAATAAATCCTTTTTTTTTTACCCTAGTATTAATGTAAAACATGTAAAACTCTATATCAAATCTAATTTGGTTAGAGATAGATAATTTTTCTGGTTTGTCCTTTTACCACAATTTGGAGTCGAGGCTTTTATTTTCTATAAAAGCTCACCGGAAGTCAGCTGTCATTGGTGGTCATTTAAAGATGGCGGAGTGCTTGGCTGCACGTTTGGCCGCTCAGGAGGAGCAAATTTTGCTCCTCACCAGGGAAATATCCACGCTCCGGGATGGCCTGGGTCAAGGTCTAGACGCCGCCGGTCTCGCGGTGGTCTCTCCGGAGCTGGAGAACCTGCGGACGGAGAATGAGAAGCTCAGGTATCGGCTGCTGCACCTCCGGCGGGGTCTTCAGGCGGAGTTGGAGCTGGAGGAGGCGCGGGGCAAGAGGCAACAAGGAGCCAAGTGTGACAAAGCTCCGCAGAAAAATACCAGCAAACCTCAGCAGACAAACAACCGAGCTGACAATAACAAGGTAATTATACAGACCGGTGTAGTTTAAATCGTTTTATTTGTAATATGAGTAAGCTGTGAGCCATAGTAGTCCTGTATCGTTCTGAGTAGCGGGCCTCTGTCCCGTGAAATGGCAAGCTATGCTACCCCATTTCCAGAAATAGCAACCCTAGTCAAGCCCATGTGTTTGCACTCTTTAAGCGGTGAATAGGCTGATAATGTGGCTTGGCAGAAATCGTGATAAGAGGACATTACAGGTCTGAAGAAGCACACTCTTTTCTGATTAACAGGTGGCAACTGTGAGTACAAAAACAGGTGATGGGAACAAGAAAGAGAAGAAACACGACAAGGTGCAAGGAGATGGAGGCATGAAAGAGGTGCTGATCACAGGACCTGCAAGTTATCCTGTTCATCCAAACGCTGATACCAAAGTGTGGACAATTTCTTGACTTCGATTGTTTTTATTTTATTTTTTATCTGCTTCAGCTGAATCCCTGGCCTGAATACATTGCAGAGCGTCTCAGTCTTTATGAGGAACTAAAGAGAGAGAGTGATGCCCTGCAGTCAAAAAAAGCTGCAGACAGTAAGCCCATTACAGTGGAGCTCCCAGATGGGAGAAAGGTGGAGGGCAAAGCTTGGCTCACTACTCCATATCAGCTGGCCTGTAATATCAGGTTAGTACCACTGATTTCATCACTAGAAGATGTTGCCTCTGTGTTCGTTATGCTTTTTTCTGCAAATATTCTTAATTCTCATGCTTTATCATAATGAGAGAAACCGCTGACACAGATTTCCATTTGTCTTTCAGCCAGGGTCTTGCTGACAATGCTGTGATTTCTCGGGTAAATGGGGAACTGTGGGACCTGGACAGGCCTCTTGAGCAGGACTGCTCACTTGAGATCTTGCGCTTTGACAATGAGGACGCTCAGGCTGTGAGTACTCTTAAACCTTTAAAGCTGTCAATAATATTTTAATATTGTTTGTAAATACAGAATTTGGTGGGACACAACATAAATGCACTGCAAATCAGTTCCTGATATCATTCAATGAATTTTATTCTTAAATATTTTCAGTATTGTACAAAACAAACTTGTGAGGGCATCCATAAACATACACTGAGTTACTGTAACTACTTTTTTTTCTCACAAGAATAATGTTAATGTTATTTAATCCCTAGGTGTACTGGCATTCCAGTGCTCACATCCTGGGGGAGGCAATGGAGCGCTTTTATGGGGGTTGTTTATGTTATGGACCTCCCATAGAAAACGGTTTCTACTACGACATGTTCCTGGATGGACAAAAGTGAGCAAGTATTGCCATTAATAGCTCAATATTTCCATACATTTTATTTTTTTTTGTATTTGAGTTTGAATGTTCTGATATGGCATTCTGGCATTAATTAATGTGTATGCATTTGAGATTTTTATTATAGACTGGTGATCCACAGCATCCTCATGTCAGACTTGACTAACCTTGAGTCCCTTAATCTAAGGAGCTTGAAATGAAAAGCGGCTAGACTTCTTTGAGTTTCTTGAAGACGTTTCACCTCTCACCTGAGAAGCTGCTTCAGTTCTCAGACCAGTTGGTGGAGAGTTCCAGATTTTAAGCGCTATTGGGAGTTGTCCCTTAAGAGGATTGTTGACCCAGTATTGATCATGTGCCTAATCACATGAGCCAAGGTGTGGGTCATTATCAGCAGAGGTTTCAGGTGAAACCACTGTGAGACCTTGCCTCACCCTATCATGTGACTTATTGAGATCAATTGACACAAGATGTGAGTGAGCGTCTGGGAAGGGATCTCAAAACTGGATTATAGGTTGTAGACGGTTGGTGTCATAAGCCACCCCCTCTGTTCAAGGATGGTTGTTCACAGTGGACATAGATGGCTTCTTTCACTCCTTTTACAACATCTGTCTTTGTCCAAAATGAAAACATTGGCATCCTCAAAGGAGTGATCTTTATCCTTCAGATGCAGATGTACAGCTGAGTCTTGTCCTGTTGAGGTGGCTCTTCTTGTTGTGCCATGGGTTTATAGAGTGGCTGTTTGGTTTCTCCAATGTAGAGGTCTGAGTACTCCTTGCTGCACTGCACAGCATATACACTATGTTGTTTAGTATGTGTTTGGGTGTTTTTGTCTTGGGACGAACCTGTTTTTGTCTGAGTGTGTGGCTGTGTCTGAAGTACACTGGGATGTTGTGCTTGGAGAAGATTCTCATGAGCCTGTCTGATAAACCTGCTACATAATGGATTACAATGTTGTTTCTGTTTCTCATAGTTGATGTCTGCCTTTGTTTACTGTGCATCTTTGCCTAGTTGATGAAAAACCAATTGGGATAACCACATGTTTTAAGAGGTTTCTTTACATGTGTGTTTTCCTTCATTTTCCCTTTTGGCTTAGAGGAAACGTTTTCTGCCTGGTGTTGCAAGGTCCTGATTACTCAAAGTTTATGTTCCAGAGGTGGGTTTCTGGTAAACATCAATGCTGCACTCCTCAATGCATTCTCCTCAATGTGCACATCGAGGAGTCCTTTGTATCTTCCCAGATGAACTTAATTTTCCCATCTACTGACTTGATGTGAGCTGTGATGGTTTCTACTTCTTGGGTTTTGATTTTGACCCACATGTCATCCAGATTACTGTGCCAGTTGGCTGTCCCTTCCCCTTGAGTCCTTTTTAATATGTTTGCTGTTTCCAGGGGTGTGTCCAGCATGGAGTTTGGGGACCTGGAAGCTTTATGTAAAGCTGTGGTGAAGGAAAAACAGCCCTTTGAGAGACTTGAAGTCAGCAAGGAGACACTACTAAAAATGTTTAAGGTGAGTGAAAGAAATAAGACTGGTGTCTTCTGCTTCTGCTTAGACTTATATATCTTACTAAACCCAACCGTTTCCATCTTCCAGTACAACAAATTTAAATGCCGCATTCTCAATGAGAAAGTCACCACCCCAACTACTACAGTCTATAGGTAAGATGTTTATCTTTAACTTTAACTGCTGTGTTTTTGAAATGTCCACTGTGTTACTGTTATTATTATTAGTTTTATTTTCTTGTAATGCTAACTGTTGTAAGTCACAATTCTTTGATAGATGTGGACCCTTGATTGACCTGTGCAGAGGTCCACATGTCAGACATACAGGCAAGATCAAGGCCATGAAGATCTACAAGGTATTTCCAACTCCATATTTTTGTTCTTGGACTCTAGTAGAGTATCTTTACATGATTCACAGTTAAAAATAAGATCTGAGATTGTCTGAGATCAACCACTGTAAGCAAACAAGCCTTTCCCCTTTAAGCCCGTTTTTATCTAATTCACAGTTTTTGAAAAACAGAAGGTTTTAACAGCAAAATCTCTGTGCCCAAGATGACTATAGCAAGAATACACCCTCTCTACAGCATCACACTGATGCTGTGTTCCAGATACCTTGGAACTGGGATGTCAGAACTTGTTAGCGGATTCCAGAAAAAAGCGAGGAAAATCAAGATTTGTTTTGGTTCTTAGTAAGGTAGAGCAATGCAGCACAATGCTGCTGCTGCTGCTGCACATTCGTAGATAGAACCCGATCAATGCTCTGGGTAAGTCACAAATAAATGACAGTGACAGTATAGATTAAAAGTTTTACAGTTTTACTACCCTTTATGGTCAGTCCTGCCATCTTGGCTTGATAACTCTGGGCTGCTGAGTCGGCTCTGACTTTCTGAGTAGGAAATTGGACTTGAGAGGGCACTTTAGAATCAAATTCCAACTGGGAGTATGGAATGCACCATTTAGGTGCAAAGTAGGAAAAAATCCTGTCTGACACCAAAGATTTGGAGGGATTACTTGTATGCAAACCTTAGGGATTTTTCAAAATGTTGTCATAGGCTTAAGCACCTAACAAAATGAGTCAAAAAGCATTTTTAATTCTGTCATCAGAACTCTTCCACCTACTGGGAGGGACGCTCTGACATGGAAACTCTGCAGAGGCTCTATGGGATATCCTTCCCAGACTCAAAGATGTTGAAGGAATGGGAACGTTTTCAGGAGGAGGCCAAGAACAGAGACCATCGCAAGATTGGAAAAGTGAGTCATTGTAGGCAGTAGTGTTTCAGCGTGCCTAGTTGACTCAGGCCTAAAACCAAATCCTAAACCCAGTACAAAGTGCAATTTAATTTGTAATTATGTAATGTGATGGCAAACAGATCCCCATTGAGGTTTTTGTAGAAGTTTTTCTTCACTAGTTTGGTTCTATAGACGTGTCAAAACACTGAAACAAACCTGGACCAACACTACAACCATTAACTGCATCAAACATGCATCCCGGGAAATGAAATGCATTTATTTGAGAGGTTGAAGAGGAGTTCTCTTGTTATGTAATCCAGCAAGCAGAACTCATTGCCAAACCGATTTCTCAGCTTCTCTATATTTTCAGTGCCATACAAGACTGATCGAATGTGAGGTTTTTCACTTGAAAACCAGATCGCCTGTTGCTGCTATGTACCAGCTGAGGGCACTGTGTTTCCTCACATTGGCACATTCGGAACAAGTGTGAGTGAGTCATCAGAGCGCCCCAGCTGGTTACCCAGCATGGGAGACACAGACGGCAACACCTCAATCAGCACTTATTACAACGCAGTTTCCATATTAAACACAAGCTATAAGGCTGTCAAAGCCAGTTGGAGGGAGGTGGCAAAAGTGACATGTTGTGTTTAAAAACGGCGTTCGGCGGCATTTTTCTAATTAATTAATACAATATTTATTCAATTGGATTTAACAGTGCTTACCATAGTGATTAAATTGTGTCTTAAGTCTTTTTGATAAAAGTTTATTCTGTTTTCTTGTTAGGTTGTGGTCAGTCATTCACTGACAGATGGTCTGATGTGTGTGATGATTGGAACACTCTCTGCTGTGCATGGAGTTTATTGCTGGCTGTACCTGCAGATAATGATGATATGAAATCATTTTAAAAATTGTCTGCTTCACAGGACCAAGAGCTCTTCTTCTTCCATGATCTCAGCCCAGGCAGTTGTTTCTTCATGCCACGGGGAGCTTACATCTACAACACACTGACAGAATTCATCAGGGTAGGAGATACAGCTAAATGCTTATTTTATCTCCAATATCTGTATCATTCTGAGAAAATGTTATAGGAACATTCAGATAATATTAACTGAATATCAGTAGTACAAGCTCAGTAGATGTGAAGCAGTGTTTAAGGTCAATGCTTGGATCATTACTGTTTGTGTATAATTGTATGCCTCAGATCCAGAGTATTCATATATACATTGTGTTTTCATATTACACTGAGTCGACTTTTAGGATCGTTTGTCTCAGTAAAGTTTTGGTTGGAAGGACTTTACTGAACCACAGAAACCCTTACAATCATTTTACAGTCCATGACGACTGTGCTTTGCATTTTCAGAGTAGCAATCATGATTGCCTTCTCAATGGCTTGCAGACCACTCGCTGTGACTTTTCCAATCACAGAAGCTCAAAAATAAGTAGCGTAACTGTTAGGTCTGCACTTCGCAGGCCCCGCTGGTTTAGAGACTTATTCCCATGAACAAAGCAAGACAGAGCTCGATTCATTTTAACTTGAGGAGCAGATTGGACCAGGGTCTTGGAGCTGCAAGCTCCTCACCTGGTCCCAGACAACTCCAAAGAGCCAGCCTCCCCTGCAGCCTTTTATTAACTCTGTGGTCACACAAACATCTCATTAGTTTTATCTGTTATCATGCAACAGATAAAACACTTACATGTGAACATGTGTCATGTGTGTCTGCAACAGAGAAAATCTGATGTGTGTGTCTATGAGCATGTGACGTGATATGTGTGTCTGTGTAGGAAACAGAAGTCAGCATTCATGCTAAAGATCTAATCGTCCTGTTAACGGTCTAATTATCTTGCACAATGACAATCATATTGATCCACAATTCTCTAACAGTAACACCAAGTGAAAGTTTTGTTCAGCTTGTTCATCGTTCATCATACCTCAGAGCTTCAGAAAACTTTGGTTGGACCCTGACCCCTGTGCATAATCTGAAATGTGGCCTGGTCCTTATGAGGGCCTTTTTACTTGAATATAGGTCAAACTGAATGGTACATAAACTGAATTCTAAACATTTTGGGAAGCTGTGTGAAATGCAAATAAAAATAGAATACAGTCTTTTGCAAGCCCGAATTGTATTCACAATATATCATTGACGACATATCCAATTGTTAAATTGAGACTTCTTACTATTTCATGAAAAATATTTGCTCAATTTAAATTTGAGCAACAAGTGTCAAAAGGTGGGGAAACAAAGTGGTCAAAAAAGAGCTGGGTGAATATTTTGCAACTAGTTAACTGACAACAGTAAGAGAATCTTGGAGCGACAGAGTTCCTCAGAAGTAAACAATTTCAAAATGATTTTCTCCAGCAACAAATTGCAAAGACTTTGAGTATCTAATCTGCAGTGCATAATATCATCAGAAGATTGAGTCTGTTAGTCTGGAAACTTCTCTGTATGCAAGGGACTGAGGCATGTTCATACCATCAAATTCAAAATGAGACAGTATTTTTTTTTTTTTTGAAAGTGGTACGTTTTCTCAGTTTCTACATTGTGCAACCAACTATACGTTGTTTAAATTTTACACAGCTTCCCAACATTTTGGAATTGGAGTTGTACATTTAGTTGAAGATAATAGCTGTATCCAGTCCTCTCTGCACATGTTGTCAAAGTAGGAAAATTCATAGTACTTGTGAAGCTGCAGATTCTCTACATTTGGAAGTTCTCAAAAGGTCTTTAAAGTTCAGTCTTCAGATTTCAGCGCAACTTCAACTGCTCAGACAAGTTCACCGACTCTACAGGAACTTGTCTCTGTGGTGTATTTGGAAAGACATGCTAACATCTTGAAGACTTTCGCAGCACACACCCCCAAACCAAGCCATGCCAAGACAAACTCATACATTGCACAGACAGGGTGTAAGATCGTTATCACATCACTTATATCTGTTAAAACTGCAGAGAAAATTATACCAGCATGCTATGCATTTCCATTTCCAAGATCTCACCAAAACATTTAATAGTCAGAAGTTACTTTGCAGGGAACCCGGCTCAGATTTATAGACAACAAGTGCTGACTTTGACTGAAGTGTCATGAGTATTTCAGTACATGCACTCATTTATTTCCAGGTTTTGAAATTCTCCATTTTCTGGTAAATAATACCGAGGAAAGCTGAGTGAGCAAGCATTTTCTTTTTCAGCAAAATCCTTTTTGATATTCACAGAAATTCTTCCAGTTAGTGTCTTTGTACTGTTGGCTGATAAACAGCTCAAAAGCCTGTTAAATGCTTAGCTTAATGGCAACAAATGGATAAATACAGCCCACACAATGTGATTTCCATTGTTGCAGCTTAAGGTTGCATGCCAGAAGTCATGATTCAGTTGAGTACCTGTGCAGCCTAAATGGTGTGTTTAGCCAATGTGGTTTGTTATTTTTCTAGGATGAGTACTGGAGAAGAGGCTTTCAGGAAGTAGCCTCCCCCAACATTTATAACAGCAAACTGTGGGAGACATCTGGCCACTGGCAGCACTACAGCGAAAATATGTTCTCCTTCCCCGTGGAAGATGACATATTTGCTCTGAAGCCAATGAACTGCCCCGGGCACTGGTAAATGTGGAGCTCTC